TCATATACAGATAAGATTTTATCATTTAATTCCTTCCAAAGATAAACACTATGCAAATATCCACGAAACGGCAGTTGTAGTCTTTTCTGCTAGTGTTTTAAAACACTAATTTAAGCAACGTTATTTCACAATTTCGATCTTTTGTAAACCTGGGGTGATGTATCAAGGTCTAAAGTAACCGTTTTATCAATTTTTGAAAAATCAAGAAAAAAGTGAAAATTTCCCTTCTCGCTACCTTAAATAACAAATGGATAAATGGATACAAACTAACAATGCAAATCTCTACAGCAGGAAAATAATAATAATAATCATGTTCTCTGTGCTTTATATTTGGGTATTACTCTGATGCAATGTAACTTCAACCTATCAACCAAAATACATGAATTGAGAATAGGCACATAATTAATATATTACAAATAGAAGCAATTTTATTTCTGACAAAATATAAGTTATTACATAATATTCCATTTGATTATGCAAACAGTATATGAACTATCCTATCTATATAAGGCAAGCAGTTATCTTAATAACAACTAATTAAATTAATTTACCTGTTCCGCAAACCACTTTCTTTCATTCAACGAATTACAACGTAGTTTAGATCTACATACTTCATACAAAGGCCAGCATGAAGTAGATCCACTCCTAGTTACAATGACAAAACACATTCATGGTAATTATAAGAGGACATTTATCATAAGGTGTGTGTGACTGGATGGTAGAAACTAATTATTTGCGTAATTGTGCCTTGGTTAATAAAAATATATATTAACAATTTCGTCATAGTAGATTGTAAGCTACTGATAATGCTGATCCACACACATCCTTTTTTTTTTGCCAGATATATATGCTATATAGTACACAAAGGATAGACAGGAATTAATCTGCACTGAGATATTCAATTCAATAACAAGATGGTCAAATGAATATACATGTACAACATAAAATCAAAGGACAGACTGTAAAACATAGGGTTGTCAAATTACATAATTTCATATATAGCGTTTTGACATAATGACCTAAGATTTTATTTGTATTTGAAGTTGAATTTGTTATTACAGTGACAATAATTTATAAAAGCAATTTTTTTATTCAATTGCATATATGTTTGTGATGTTTGATTTATAGAAAAGAAATGGAAGAAAACATTGATGTCCATTAAGACTAAACAAAGGATTTCAAGGGATCCTGCACTAAAAGCAAGACATTACATTTATATATTAGGACATAGGAGGTAACTTTCAATACACAGTAAATGTATGAAATGTGATAACTCACAGGTCAATATTATGTAAGAAATTAATAACAACACTTCGACCAATGGTGAGAAGAGTAGAAGGTGGATCAATTAAATCTGATTCCTGGCTTTCAACCCTCACTGTGATTGGATCTCTACTGTGACACTGGAAATAAACCAGACAATTTTTATACAGTTATTACATTTAAAACATGACATTATAACCAGTCATTTGTTATGAGTCATGGTGCCTTATGTACTTGGTTGAATTGACACTTAAGGATATAAAAAATGGTGTCAAGGACTTCTAATACATAATTATAACATTTTCTGGTTAGGCACAACTTGAAATTGAGTCATCAAACCTTTTTTTTTTCATTTTGGATTTTTGAAATTATGTTACAATCACATGTTGTGTTATAGATACATGTATACTGTAAACAGTTTTATTTTGACAAATAGAAATTTTCAGGACTTCATGATACCATGGCATTTGAGAAGAGAAAACTTGTGAAACACCCCGAGTCATAGAATCCCATAGAAATTTTCAGGACTTCATGATACCATGGCATTTGAGAAGAGAAAATTGTTGAAACACCCCGAGTCATAGAATTCCATAGAAATTTTCAGGACTTCATGATACCATGGCATTTGAGAAGAGAAAATTTGTGAAACACCCCGAGTCATAGAATCCCATAGAAATTTTCAGGACTTCATGATACCATGGCATTTGAGAAGAGAAAATTGTTGAAACACCCCGAGTCATAGAATCCCATAGAAATTTTCAGACACTTAAAATTCAAGAAAATATTTCGCTCACAAATTTAAAGGCGTTTAAAGTAATGCATTATGCCATAGTCCAATACATGTGATCTACTGGATAATACTCATAGTGAGTGTACTGATAGACAAAATGTGCACGTCACAATAGGCAAAACTGCTGAAACTATTCATGAAAAACAAGTATTACCAGAAGTACATTACTTGGGGTTTGCAACTCGCATAGTACTGTATGGTGACATCATGTCAAGTTCCCATTCAAGTCTCTTCTCGTAGATAGCGAGACTGAGGCTACGACCTTCTGACATGACACATATCAATGTTCAAGGTTTGTAATGAAAAAATAAAACTTTTCTTGTCACTATCATAGTGAAAAATGTAATACATCGAAAATGTACAGAAAATATAGTTCTCGTAATCCGTCATATCGTGGGCAGCTATTTTGATCCACCTGGACATCCCAGTATCCGAGTTACCTCGGGCATGCAAACCCCAAGTAATGTACCTCTGGTATTACTAATTAATAATTAAAACATAATATGTTACCTTATGAATCTTTCTAAGCCTATTGAGTCCTTCCTTAGCACCCCAGTTACATAATTCATGTAAAGTACGAAGAGCTTTATCAAATCGTCTTGTTGAGTCAGTTTTTACTAGCTTAGGTTGATAGATAGCATCTACAGCACAACAACATTCAGGGATGCTGTCTAAAGAAAAGTTATCAAAAATAATAATGTTCAATCTATGTTCAAAATAAGTAGATATGAAAAATACCTCTGGAATGTAATCTAGTGGGTACATGTAGGTCTGCACTCAGAGTACCACAGAACTTCAGTTATACGTGTGCAGCAGTGTGTTGCTTGTAGTTCTCCTCCCCAAATTTAAATTTGTTTGACCATTGACCTACAACACAAATCCAGCTGACTAAATTAGTTTTAAATTTGAAATACAGCAGATTAGAAGCTAGAGTTGCTTTTTTCATGCAGAACACTAGTTCATGAATTTCTGTTTCTGTTTTGATAACCCTACCAGTTGTCTAGGAATTTGTACATAGATACTGACAAGATGAACATATCAACCTTGTTTGAAATATTATTCAGACAATGTTTAGATTTGTAGTAAATCCCTTCAACCAAAGGCTGAAGCAAGGTGAACTGCAGTGAACTCCATCAGTGTGATATTGTTTTACTCATTGACACTTGATTCAATAATAATTCAAACAGTTAAATTGCAATGTTTATTTAACAAACATACTGGATATTTGCAATAGCAGCCACACAAATAACAGGACTTCTGGGATAGGATCCAGAGTGACACGAGTGATCAATAAATTTGGCTGTCAATTAACACAGGATTGTTCTGTAGACAAAATTAGTGGCTGGACAAAAAACAACCATGAATTCTCATGTATGAGAGTTTCATTATAATTTCTAATTGAACATCAGTGAAAAGCAGTGTCAGGTTCAGCCCAACTGTTCAATCATAAATATTATAAATTTGTTGGGACTACTAAGCCCTGAAACATTCCCATAATTCTTCACAATAGAATGATTTGGTTGAACACTATGCTATGCTTAAAATGGCTTATTGATTCTTGCGTTGTCAAGGCAACAAAATAACACATTTCAAGAATGCTTCTTACTTCGTTTTGAAGGAGTTGATGGTGTTGTTGGTCCATCGCTATGATAACCATCCTCCCTGAGTGAAATTCTAGTGGCACTATGTAGACAACATGATTTAGTATCCCTGGCTTTGTCTTCTAATCTTTTAAATCTTGATTCAAGTTTCTTGTTTGTCTGATAAGTACAGAAATAATAGCAATGTAAAATCTGTCCTTCTCTATGCATAAGTTATAATCTTTCCACAATGAAGAACTTGCAGAATATTCTGGCCAGTGGTTATTTCCAATGATAAACTTAATAGACACATTCTCAGGACATTAATATTGACTGAGATAGTTGGGTCATGTTCTCAGAATGCCACAAAACTCAATCCCCAAAACAGCACTTTGCTAGACGCCACAGGGTAAACAAAACAGAGGAAGGCCAAAAACCACATAGAGAAGAACCATTACCACAGAACTTGTGGCCAAGCATAGACAGGAATTGAAGAACTTATGTTCTGGTGTAGGATGAAGAGGACCCCACACACACACACACACACACATACATACATGTACGGTATTAGGTGGCAGTACAGAAACCAATCAGATTGAGTCTATTTATAGAAACATAATACAAATTATGGAAATATTGCAAACACAAGATAAAACAACGATTTAAGCAACACAATTACAGAAAAGAAGGAATGAGTAGAGCAGAAAATATATATCAAGTTTGAATATTTAAGAAAATGAATAATCACCACCCAAACACATCAACAACATTTTATACCAGTAACAGGCACAAATAAAATAAAAACACCTTTTATAAATTTTATAATTTTATAAATTAACAGTCACGAAAATAACTTCATTAACATTGTGTAAAGGTCAATTGGCCAATGGGTCACATGAATATATCCTAACATGTTATCTCATGTGTGTTCTTTTGGTAAAACAATTTTAGGTCATTTGAATCAGACTTACAAACAAGCAGCCTCTCGGCTGAAATAACTCTGCTGTTAGCTATGCACATTTCAATTAAAGAACTGAAGATATCACTGGAAAATGAACAAACCTGAGAGAGGTCTACCTGAGGTACCTATATGTAAAGTATCAAAGCAATCGGATTTGAGGTTTTTAAGAAGAAGTCGAACATATTACTCTTCACCAAAAATATTCTTCAAAATTAGAGAATTAAAGATATTATCACGAAATGAACAAATCTGAGGGAGACCTACTTTAGGTACCTATATTTATAATATCAAAGCAATCAGACTTGCGTTTTTTAACAAGAAGACAAAAATATTTTTAGAGCCATCATGAGCAGGCATGAGTTTACATGCAAGTCCCAGTGTGGATTTCTAACAGTAAATAATTCCACACAGGGGTCCTCTAATTTAAGCTGAATAATAACTCACCATTAGTGGCTTGACAATGTTGTAAATGTTACTAATCTCTTTAATATTATGGTCAATATGTTCTGCTGTAGTATATGTAAAATATTCAGCAACTGTTGAGGAACCTATTTCTGAATCATTGATATCATCTTCTTCTTTTTTATTTTCATCTTTTTTGTATTTCAAAAATTTATCTGTTGAAAAAATAAATGTATATATTAGATAGAAAACTGATATAATATCACATTTTAAGAAATTTATGCAACTGTATTTTACCTAAGCAGAATATACACCACATAAGGAGTATCACTGAAGGTACTTACATAGTTAATATGATATACTGTATATCAGATGTAGATTTATGAAAAAGAAGTTGAAAATATACAGACTAGCGTTAACAAAAACACTAGTACAAGCTGCCGGACCACTAGGTTTTATTAATAAACTACTGATTTCAAAACTATAGTGTGTTCGTTTGTTGGCGAGTCCAATTTCATATCGAAGGATAACAAATAAACCAGGTAGATAAAAATAGTGCCTAAAGCAAACTTTGATTAAGTTACATAATGCTGATGCAGTTTATGATGAAAAAACAAAACAAAAAAAAACAAATATTGATTGGTCGGAATCATGTGATTTTAGTTAAAGGCGATAGTCGTTGCACCACACATGTGCCAAATGCATGGGTCTCATATAAACCAAGATGGCGATTTTGACTAAACTGATCACTGAGTACAAACTGAGACATTACCAAGCTTTAATTAATAAGTATTTTTTAGATGATTGGAAGGTATAGAAAAAGTCACCAGCAGTAATTTGTACAAGTAGCACCCAGGTCTAACCTTATACTTGTGATTTCCATTAGAAGAGCACACTGGAGTGTGGGAAAGTCAATTTTTATCAACAGTAATGTCTCGCATGCGCAGCACAACGCCTACCACTCCCTTTAACATGTATTATTTCAGGCTTCAGGACTATTCATTCATGACAAGTGAATTGCATGCTCCATTAATCCTGAACTAGAGAGTTCTGGCTGGAAATTTAATTTTAGTAGTGCAATGTAGCAACTCTTAATAAATTCTGTTCTTGTAATAAATATTTTACCTTTGGTATAATGTAAATCCAATATATGGTGCTCTAAGTCTTTTACAAATAATAATCTATTGCCATATTTGAAATAGGTTGAAACTTTCTTGAATTTCCTCAAAAGTTCTTCAAAATTATCCATAATTTTCCTGTGAATACAAAATTCATTAAAGAGAAAGTAAGCATATAGTATAGAAAAATCCATAAAATTCACATATGAATACAGATTCTAAAAGACACCAATGATTACTGGAAGACTTTTTTATCCATTTATGTCATCCTCTTTAATTGAACAAGAATGCACATGTTTGGCCAGACTCCAAATTTACAAAAGTAGCCATATAAAACATTTGTTCATTTTCTAGTTTTTGAACCCACATACATAGATGAGCTGTTCACATAATTTTATTTACATTGTCAATGAAGCATTATTCTGCTTTGCATTTTATACTGTATTTTAAACACATTTGTTAGAAGAATAATGTGAAGTGACAGTATGCAGCTATATGTATTGTTGAAATGCATACATGGAATTCTCATTGTACAGTGATATTTCCACTAATATATATAATTGTAAATGGAACTGCAGGCAATCTCTATTGTATTCTACTCTGGCTAGACTCTCTAATCCTAACAGTGTCAACTTACTTTTTATCTGGCGTGATGTAAGCCATACAGAATGGTCTGACAAATCCCCTTGCATAGATATCGTACAGTGTAAAATGATGAACCTGCAAACAAGTGAAATCATATACATGTAGATGTGTCAATGATTACAGCCACAGTCACTCTACGCCAGTCTATTGAATATTACGTAGATATTTCATCCATCTATTATCTTCCTATAAGGTTATATAGGAACAATTTATAAAAGTGTTTATGGCTCACTTGTGACTAACGGAGACTAACTCTTTTGAGTATTGAACATTATTCCATTAGAGTGCAATTTTTTGAAGAAGAAAAATACCATCAGAGGGTAGGGTGACCAGGGGGAGGGCCTGAATAACCACAACGATGAAGAACACTGTGATTATGCATGCATACATTGATGAGATGAAGGGAAAAGAACCTAAAGTATTACATAAATGTTATGGATTTCATGCATCGAAAATACTAATGTTATAGTGCAACCAAAAAGATGCTGGATACAGTCTTTTATTTCAAAATAAGGCACAAGATTTAGGATGCTATTATTTTTCAAGAAATGCCCCTCACTTTTATCACTAACGATAAACAACTGAAATCATTTTTTATTGCCAACTTTTAGGGAACTTCTACAGTATTTGGGGGTTGAGTTCAAATCCCTTCATTGGTTATGATTTTTTTCTGTTTCAAATAATTAAATTACAGCCTCTATTGTGACAGTAACATAAAATACTATATAAAAAGTTATCAACAACAACTTTTTCTTTTTTTATTGCATGAAATCATAATAAAATAATATGCTTACATATGCGAATGCCCCTTCCAGTTCATCTTCAATAACAATGTGTGTATCCATAGCAACAGAAAAGGAACAGCTGCAAGAAATAATTCATAATATCAGACTACATTATGTCTGCCACTTTGCATACAGTATACTAAGCAACATGTGAGGTACCTATAGCTGTGAATTTACATTGATATGGGACTCACCTTCCTACCATCTGGTAGTCAACTGCCATGACTTTAACTGCAAAAGCGTTGATATCAAATTTTCCACCAGCTTCTGTTGGAATACTGATCTGTAATAGATTGGTATAGTATTTTTGCTCTATTAGAAACGCATCAATGAATCATTAAAACAATACATGTATTTCAAATCAAGTAACAGATGATGCTTACCAGCGGTTTTGGTCCTTCCTGTTCAGAAAACTCGGATATAAGGATGAAATCTTCCTCAAAACTTGCATTGTTCTTCCATGGATGTGGTATACTAAAATGTGGTTGTAAATGTGGGGGAAGTTTAACCATATCCTCATCAATGAATGCATAGTCATCTTCATAAAAGAATTCATCTCCCTGAATATTTTGATTAAAAGCTACAACTTCACTGTAACCTGCCAACATTGTCGTTGAATTGTCAGATACTGGGTTTGATTACATCATTACAGTGACACTTCCTACAAAGAGAATAATACAATTAGTTGTTTGCAAGTAACATATATTACGCATTATATTACGGTACTATGCTACTAATGAGTTTCTTGCATTGTGCATATTTAAATGCATATACATGTAGCAATGACAGTATTTTGTGTCAAAATCTGTCTACAGTTATTTGTTTTAGTATTAGCCAACAGTATGTGAACTGTTTTGATTCACTGTCAATATGTTTTCTGACATATAAAAAAAAAATGTCAACATTTTTACTTTTGTCAGTCCCTCTATCGATAGAGGGACTGTGCTTTTGTGTAGCATTCTACCCTGAAATAAGGGGGTAATATGTAAAGAAAAGAGACTAGGGTTTCCAGTTGATGTGTTTTTGTGAATGAAAACAACATAAATACACACAGTCCCTATCATAGAAGGACTGTGAAATACAATAGGATTTCCAATCTCTCCTCAATGTGTTCCTGGGAATAACCGGTAAAAAGACAAATCAAACAATTTTGTTGTGACATTTATGAATTACTTGAGACTAATCATAATTGTGTCAGAAAAATGTAGATTGAGTAGTGTGATCTGCCTTTGTATTGGCATTGCTACAGACTTTTTCTTAGTACATCCATGATGGGACTCATAACGACGAAAATAACGCGTGTTGAATGCATTGTTTACATAGAATTCGAACACGAGTTGCGCGACAACTCGCGCCCTTTGAGACGACTTTTCATTACGTGACAATTTTAGCGAGAGAGATGAGAAAATATGGAAGTTAATATGCCAATTTGAATAAATTCTTCAAGTAGACTATAAACTATTTAGTTAACACAGTGACATGGTGAAAACTGCTACCAGTAATGGTATGAATAATAGTACCGGACTCGGCGCACTACTACTAGTACTAGAGATATAACATGTAAGTAATGAATTAGGTGAATGCCACTCATATGCTAGAATCGATTGATTATGTTGTTTACCTTCGATCAGCTGTGCGATTATAAAATAATGACCTCACCGTGAACTCACGTCACCAGTCAGAGCCATCGCGTCATATCGAAATATGTGATTAATATATAAACTAGTTGTCGTTGAGAAGCTACCAAGGGTGCAAAGTATATTTGCAATTTTCAATCTAGCCGAAGATGAACTACTAGTCCGGAAGCTTTCGTTTCTTTCTTATTTTTACAATCCGCCAGAGGATCTTGGGAAAATTTGTTAAAAGCTGACCCCTTAGCTACTAATCAAATTTTCAATAACAAAAGTCAAATGTTAATATACCCAGGTTATGCGTTCGTAAATACTTATTATGAGATAAACTGTCTCTTGTTTCTATTAAAAAATCAGAATAAATAACTTAAAAACACTCACAATTTGCATAATATATAGTAAAGATTAACCTAAGCTAGGGAGTTTGCATTGGTACGTTTGTTTGTTACCTCATTTCTCAAACAAAATCTCTTTGAAATAGAAAATACAAACTTGACTTGTAATGAGTAGTTTTCCAAGATACAACAGTAAGTCGAATCTGGTTTCCATGTTATTCTGCAGATTTAACGACTTGTATCATCGTTTTAAATATTTACTAATGTTTGACTTCGATAACTATTGAGGTTATTTGAATACAGATAATTTTGTCGTGCAAAAATAAACATCATATTATGTTGTCAGCTCTGAGGTCAAATAAAGGCGGGATTTTAAAAGATAAAATAGATAAAGTATTAGTATTATGAAAAGAACTGTAATTGTGTGTGTGGTATAGCATAGTAAATCACAAAACTTGTGCATTAGGATAGACGACTTTAATAACCATGCATGCGAGGAGGATCTAAATACAATCGTAGTGTGATGTGAATCAGCCGCTTGTTACTATTGAAAAACATAGTAAAAAGGGGGGGTGGGGTCAAGTTAGGACCTCTTGGATTAATAACATCGTTTTATCATATGTAACGAACGACTGTGATGTGAACTTTAATATTTTGCAAGGACCTGTCTGAGGCATGTGTAGTATAGTTAATTTCGTCCTCAGAGAATTATACTCGTTATCACAGACCATGTGTGTATAAGTAAATATGACCATTGAACAACATCATTTCATGAACATGGAGATACTGTAAAATAGTTTATT